TTGTTTTACAACGTCGTTGCCAAGCGACGAAAACCCAACCCCGATGGCAAACACCCAAAGAGACAGTAGTAGAAAGGTAGAAAGTATACAAAACGGACAGTAGTCCTTGTACGATAGTACAGACGAGTCACGGGACCACCGATGGTTCACATGTAGTCTATTAATTGTAAGAATACAACCAAACAGCATTCAAATGGTAGCATGCATAAGATTTTGTAATTTTGAATTTGTTGTCCACATCGGGCAAGAAGAAATAGACTATGTTCGCATTTCGCCATTCGAAATTTATGTGTTACGTACTTGTAATATGTACGTTGTTAGATTGTTTTGTTTTTAGTCCATTTGTTACGATGTCTTTTTTAAGGCTGTCTTTTTTTCAAAAAATGACAGCTGGCCAAACAGCCCCGTGTTACAACGTCTTGTTTTGCTAAAATATGACAACGAAAGAATGACGAGCAACCATATTTGACAGCCTATATCACGGGGCTATTTGGCCAGTTGTCATTTTTTGAAATGAAGACAGCCTAAAAAAAGACTCTAAGGGCATTTGTTACGATATCTCTTTTTAGGCTTTTTTTGGCTGTCTTCATTTCAAAAATGACAACTGGCCAAATAGCCCGGTGTTACAACGTCTGTAAAAGGGCATTGTTAGTCCACTTGTTACGATGTCTTTTTTTAGGCTTTTTTTAGGTTGTCTTTTTTTTAAATGACAACTGCCCAAATAGCCCGGTGTTGCGACGTCTTTTCTTGCTAACGTATGACAACGAACCTTATTTGACAGCCTATAACACGGGGCTATTTGGCCAGTTGTCATTTTTTGAAATGAGGACAGCCTAAAAAAAGACTAAAAAAAGACACCGGAACAAGTGGACTAACAAATGCCCTTTTACACTGAAGAGGGTTTTCGCCTGATTGAGAGCGGAGTATACGATTGAGAGCGGAAGCCAAAAAAAATGAAATTTCGGGTCCAGACGCCTCTTGCCATTTCTTGGGAAGTAGGGGGCGGGCTCTTCCAAGAAGCGGCGCAAATTGAAGGTCTCATCAGCAGCGTCACGAGCATATGCGTGTCATCGCGATCGGATGCTGCAGCTAGGAGCTAGACAAGTTGCTAGATTTCCCCAGATTGGCTATTCCTGCCTCAAACTGTTTCAGGGCGATTTGATCGCGGGCGGTGAGCTCTGCTGTAGATTCTGCTCCCCGCTGTAGCTCCACAACGAGAGACGCCCACAGGATAACCAGGGTATCGGCTTGTAGCTACGGGCTAGGCCTTCAATTCAAGTCACGCAGCAAGCTCCACCTCTCAGCGGTAGTCCAGCTACAGCGCATCGCGCAATCTCGCTCTCAATCAGAAACTTCGCTCTCAATCACACGAAAACCTTGTTACTGCTGTTTTTTTTAGCAATCTATGCGAAATGCATAACTGAAGGCATTGCTGCGCTCCTTAGAGTTTATACCTTTCGTTGGCACAGCTTGTGCATGCACTACTATTTTCAGGGTTGCTTCATTGTTCCCCGTGCAACTGGCCTACTCAATTACAACATTCCCTCCTGTTTGCGTTTGCCATGGCTTCCCGCACCGAGCGTGTCTTCGACGACGTGGTATACTGGGTAATCCTCGCCAACCAGGCGCTGTCCGCCCCTGAGCGCCCAGCATTCAAGAAGGTCTTGCAGACAGCGACTGGAAGCCCTAGCTTCGACATCGGCGTTCGAAAGAAGTTGGCGCCGGCGTCGATGGCGAGGAGAAGACTACCACGGACACTCTCAAGCGCATGCTAGTCGGGACTAGCCCGGCGGCGACCAGCGACATTTGGACATCATATTCCAATGTGAGTAAAATACCTTCCACAGTTGGACCTACAATCAGTTTTGCTTAGCGTGCATGTATTTCAAAATGGAGCAAGGTGGTGTGTTTTCAATATTTGAATTCGTGGCTTATCCAATATACTTATGTGCTCGTTGTTTTTTTTGCTGTGTAAATTTTCTACCGTATCCGACCAAACGTTTTAAGGTCTCCTTCATCAGCCTGACTCTCCACTGGATAGAGACGTCCCCCGTCGCGTGGACCGCCAGGAGTGGCACCGCCGCTTGCGAGGTATTTGATGGATCTCTTACCGGTGTGTGCATCGGGGAGAAGCTCATGGGCATGCTGAAAGAGCTTGGAATCGCCAAGACCGTGACCTGCATGACAACGGACACGGCTGCGAAAATGAAGAACGGGATCGTCGAGCATATGCCGGGTATGGAGTGGCTTGGGCGTGCATGCCACAAGGCTGAGCGAACAGTGCAGAATTTCGTCGGTCCCCCCGGCCTGAAGAAGTCCATCAGCGCCTTCACCAAGGTTGCAACGCACCTACAAAAGTCCGCGCTGTGGAAAGGTGTTTTCCAAGACGCGCAACAACTGAGTTGAACGGTGTGTTACCAAGCAAAAACATGTCGGATTGTTGCTCTGCAGCGGGGACGATGAACTGGACGTGTTGCGTCGCCGCATCCCCTGTCCTGTATTTTAACAATGACACGACATGCACCTGTTCCTGCATCCTGTGCAGCAGAATTTGAGCTGTTTCTGAAATTCCCCCCTCGTCCCCCCCCCAACGTCCAATAAATACTTCCGATGCAGAGGAGATTCCCCGACAACACGCCTGCAAGAATCCCTTCTGACTGCCCCACATGGTGGTGGTCGTGGTACAGGATGCTTTCAAAGCCCATCGAGGACAAAAACAGCATTGTGCACACCCTTGAGATCGCTAACGAGCGTGCGGTGGTGGATATCCACGTCAGAAGCGAGGACTGGGAAAACGCTGAGATGATGATGAAAATGCTGGAACCGTTCGCGGATGCGGTCGAGGGCTTAGAGAGTGATGCTCTTGGCCTGGCGGAACTTCCCTACATCGTGTCCGTCTTAAATACTCACATCGAGAGGGAGGAAGCGGCGTTTTACGACGGCCCTTTCGCGGAGGTTGGCGACGCAATGCTAGTCGACCACGCCGACCGCTGGGACGAGCTTTCCGGGGTTGTCAAGAAGGCATCCGCGCTAAGCCCACGCACGAAAGGGCTCGAGTGACTGTTGGAACACGAGAAAAAAACTTGGCGTAACTTCAGAGACATCGCTGCCGAGAACGAAGCAAGTGGGTACGCGGATCGTGGTGGTTCCGGCGGCACGTCGAACGAACACTCCCGACGAAGAAGCAGAAGAAGAGCTTTCGCTCGAGTGTGTTTCGACAGCGAAGGCAATCGGTATGGAAGGCGGATGGAGTGGAACGGATGGTGATGGAAACAGAAGCACCGAGCCTTCCTCCGGAAGGCTTACGCTTCAGACACGCATGGATGCGGCCGAGCTGGAGCTTCGGCGGTTCATTGCCGAAGAAGGCCTCGACGAAGACTCGAACGGACAGGATGATCTGAAATGGTGGTATCGGCACCAGTTCGCGTTCCCATCTCTTGCTAGGCTGGCAGTGAAGTACCTCGTGATCCCCCCATCATCGGCTGCGTCTGAACGCGTCTTTTCCATGGCCAACATTGTCACGAAGAAGCGTAACCGCCTCGGGGAGGACACTATCGATGCGCTCGTGTTCCTGAATGGCTCCCACATGCTGCCGTGGTCCAGCGACATTTCGTAGAAAGAACTTGGCCGGAAGCAAACTGACTTTTCGTCGCGTGTTGCTGAGATGTTGCTTGGTAGCTATTGCGTGGTGGTGTCGTGGTGATTCTCTGCGTGCGAATGACTTGTTGGGCGTCGGGTGGCTGGCTTGCTTCCGCTTTCTTCATGATTCTTCGTGGGTCGTGGTTTGGTAGCATTGAACGCAGTGAAGGAGGTCACTAAATCTACACTAAATAGAGGTCGCGACGTGTGTACACTTACTTACACAATAGCGGGAGTCAAAGCAGCGGTAGGTTGCAGCTGCAGCTTCTAACCGTTCATTGTTACGGTCTCTCACTGTGCGACGTTGGCTTCCGACGACTAATTCGCGATTTATTGTTGTGTGAGATAGGTAAAATGACGCCACCATAAAACACTTGTACTCCATTTACCTTCTTCATGCGTTCACCCTTGTTGCTTGTTCCCCCACGCGCAATTTTTACTCAAATAGGTGGCTGTACACGGCCGGCTTCAGAGGCCTATTTTTCGAAAATTGTGACGGGAAATGAAGCGAAATTGCTCCAATTTTTTTGCCTCCGGCCTTACCAGCCGGGGGGGGACGTTGGGCCCGCACAGCGACCTGACGCGCATTCGCGCGTCAGCTCGCTAAGCTCGCCGGCTCGCCGCGCTCGCCTCTAACAGGTCGCTTCGCTCTCATTATCGATATCGTATCGAATCGATTACTGAATCGATATCCAACACTAGCGTCTTTCTTTTTGTCTGTCCCTTCTCTCCATTTGCTCTTTTCTTTTTCTTTTTCTTTTTCCTTGTTTCTCTTTTTCCGATATAGGATTACCTCGCATAGCGCGTAGGGGCGAGCGGAGTGGCCTAGGCTATCTGTCGTTGACTTGTAATGGCTTGCGGGTCCTTTGGGACCATTTTCATTTTCATATACCTCTTCTTGTCAAGTTAGCCTGTGACCACGGGAATCGACCTCATCAAGTGAGGCGAGTACGGACAGAAGAAGGTGCAAGTACGGACAGAAGAAGGTACTGTACTGGGCAGAGAGAACGGAACGGTCTTTTATTTGGAGACAACAACAATAACAACAACAACCGACGGGATGAAAGAACCTTGCTTCAACAGCAGCAGCAGCAGCAACAAGAGAAAGCGGAGTCGAGGTGTTGGTGATGGTGACGCAAATCGGCAAGAAACTCTCCTGTCGATATTTAAGGTGTCTTTCGCAAGACCAGAACAGGTAGGGCGGTGGACAACGGGAAACACAAGCGGTAACATACATACAAGACCGGTGATGTCATGATAGAATTGCGCACGCGACACGCAAGGACGGCGGGGCACTGTTTACGCTGTGCTGTTGCTGTCCCTGTCTCCACCGCGTTGCATGATGGGCTCCATCCGGTATCTGTGTCCGCCATCATTGCTCACTTACGCCGGCTTAAGCGCTGTAGCTGGGCGGACTTTGGTGCTCCATTTGATTAGATGATGAGAGAGAGGAGAGAGCGAGCACAGCAGTCGCGAAGATTGTTCCTGATGAAATCACCATGATTTCATCGGGAATGGAGGATCCATCCATGAATTGCGAACAGGCCGTATTACATTGCAAACTTGATCTAAGATCTTCAGGAAGTCCAGGAGACATGGACATATGGACCCTTATCACCAGGAAGCTCGATCGACTTGGCAATGTGTCTAGCAGGAGAAGTACTTAGTCGATTGGGTGACAATAGCCCGACGACATGTCAACTTCACGAACCGATTTGTCGAAGTAACGAGAGTGAAGAATATAAACTGAACAGTTCATCAAATTTGTCAAACTTCCTGCACCGACATGAACGCAGTCATCACCTCTCCATCATCACTCCTCCTCTCGTTCTTCTCGGCAACGGCACAGCAACCACGAAACACAGATTCTTGCGCAGGTAAGATTTCAACATTTCGGGCAACGAGCATACTGATTGTGTGTCCTTCTTTATTGGTCTCCTGTTCGGGCGGAAATATACCTTGTTTCGGACGATAGATGAACACGCGAAGCTACATAGCAGGGATGGGATCGAGTGACAATGTTTTCCGGTAGGGTCGGATCGAGGCCGAGCAATCACGACGGAAGCCCACGTGGCCTGCAGCGATCTGCCCGCCCGGTTTAATGTACCAATGACGCTCTCTCCATGTCAGTCGTGGCTGCTAGAACTAAGGCAAGCCCACAAGATATACTGCATGCAGTGACCAGCACTAGACTGAGAGGTGGAATACCGGCTTTGTTGATAAAACGTACCTGCAGTAGGCTCGTGCGTTGGTACCATTGGCTCGTCTATAATAATCACACAGTAGCAGGGTCGAGTTGGGGGGCGCCAGTTTGATAAGCAGAGACGGGGGGTGGTGTTCATCATCATCAGTTAGAGAGAAGGGGGGTTGTTCTTGATCATCAGCAAGAGAGGCAGTGTTCACCATCAGCTCTTGAGTGGGGGTGGTGTACAACATCAGCTACAGAGAGGGGGTGGTGTTCATCATGATCAGGAAGAGAAGGAGGGGTGTTCATCATCAGCTTACTGTTCGTTTGTATGCTTTGAGGCACCTCAACACCATGTGATGACCTACAAGCTAGTAGGGGGGGGGAACACAGACACCCTTCCACCCAAGCGTGAGAGGTGTACAACAGTACATGTATCATCAATGAATGGTGGTGTCTACAACAGTACTAGCGCGTTGTTGATGATGATATGCCGCTGTCTTCAAGCTCACCGCCGCTTGCCGCAAAGACTGCGACACAGACGGTAAACATTTACACAGCATTATGAGCGCAGATTCTGGCGAGGACGTCGCCGCGGGCGGCATGTCACATTGGCACAAGAACCATTGCAACAAGACTCCACCTACCCACATCCATCTCGTGCGCATACACTGCGTCAAATGAACGAAACGTCCAACAAGTACGCATCGCGGCGACGCATGAACTTGCCTATCCCGTTCGTGCGTTGCCGCTGCAACGCGAGCCAAGTAGCCCCCATGCATCGCCCCGTTCAACACCGCAACAGCTGCCGTTAAATCATCGATCGTATTCCTCAACCTCGCCCCCTTTTTCCTGACCCTGCGGCCTGCCTCCTCGAGTACCTTCTGAAAGGTGCATATGGTACGTTAGGACACAACGACATGGAACAGGGAACTCAGACATATGCGTTCCCTGTTCGCAGTTCCCTGTTTGATGTAGGACGTTCGTGCACGCCCGAGTCCGCTATCTTAACCCCGATCTTGCTGTAACTTTATTTGGGACCGATTAAACGGGGTCTTGTCATCATTTCACCCAATCGAGACTTCCGTGAGCGTTCCTGTTTAATCCCGGTGCGCACAATTGAGACCGGGCCTGCCGCTTTCGCTTCAATGAAAAGACAATATCATCATCGATTGGCTCACGCACAGACAACCGTGTCTACCGTTCACGTGTCGTGCGACCTGCTCCTTCTTCTGCCCCGTCCGCACTTGTCAAGGGAGAGGCTCGTCCGATAAGCAATGATATCGTGTGGTCCAGGTGACCGCGGTGTCATCGACAACGTCAGTGGCCGCGGCACCATTGCAAGCGCCAGACACAGCGTGAGGGTTAATCGAACGATAAACCTCATGAGCAGGGGGACCCTGGTGTTCGTCTTTGCTGCGGCGTTTCTCGGAGAACTTGTGGTACTGCTTGTGTCCGCTGGCGATCGTTGTAGGTCCATGATGTTGCCGCCCGAACGGCCGACCATTGAGGGCGGGCTTAAGGCTACGCTGCCGCTATCGAAGAAGAAAAGCGACGCATCCCAAACAAATGGAGACAAAGATACCGGATCAGCAACTCATACACCAGGAACAACAGAGGGCGGAGGAACCCTTTGGAGAGCGTCGAGAGCACTCGAGAAAGCGCCAGCAGTCGTATTGTCACCGGCAGACGAGCCCACGATGAACGTGAGGACGGCGGAAGACCAACACCCTCCAAGCCGAGTGGCAGTCTTCGTCTACGAAGGCGTCCCCGAGCTCGACCACATGGAATTGGTGCAATGCTACCGGGATGTCCACGGGGTGGCTCCGTGGCAGGACGAGCGTTTCGACATGGCCCAGGATATGGGGGAGATCTGGATGCATCGGTACGTGTGCCCCGCTTTGCTGTTCGTTGTGGTGGCAAAAAAAACATGCTTCCGTTGCCCGCCGTGTGTGAATATTACAACTGTTAGTGCGGCCGCGGTTGTTGAGAGCGCGGTTTTCTACTGTTTCAACCTTATGGTGGACAGGCTGACTCCTTTTATGTTCCAAAACAAGGTTCATTGCCAACTGTGGTGGTGGCTTGACCACTATTTTCGAGATGAGGGTCAGGTCCAACCCGACATTTTTCACTTGTGGGAGGCCGAAGCACTTGCCTCTTGAATAATATACGGTGAAGGCATGCATCCCGGAGCAAATCGTTTGTGCAACGGAGAACAATGTATCGGTTAACTCCAATACCGGGCGAGACCGAGCACGGCCACGCAAGTCTGAGGCAGCACAGCAGCAGTAGACTGCCGTATTAGAGGCGGGGAGAAGGCACCGGATGCGATACTTTCATTCCTCGGGTGATATATCGCCGAAATTATCGGTTTCTAGATAGAAAGAGCGAAGCGGTGGGAACCGGCGCTGAAAAACAAGCGATTCCCGCGCCTGATCTCCCCTCAAAAACTGTCGCTTTCACTTTCTCCGCACGCAAGTCAGTGAAATCCAGACGGGGGAAAAAAACGGCTACTGCTACTGCACGCAGGGGTCTGGAGTGGCCAAGTCCCCAAATGATACTCGACCATTCAATTACACCCTTAAGATAACTCAAGAAACCTCACGAAATAACTGAGCGCTTCGTGCCCGTTTCCGTTCCCCCACCTTCGAAAGAAAAAAGATGGGTGGGCGGGAAACAGGGCACTACTTGCTTCGCCGCCTTTTCTATGTTTGCCAGTGCCTCAATCCTTCGGTGTGCTCACGTACTCCGATGGTTCTCTCTCGGGCTCACAAGCGCTACGACCTACAACACCGTTGCACGTGTGCTCTCTTGTGATGTCTAGCACTTTTGGTGGGGGGCACCCGAAATCCAATCTACGTATACCGGTGCCCAGTTTTCCAACAATGATGCTTTCAACCCTTACGGTTTCAACAAACGAAAGTGTATTCCGTCTTCGACAACACACTTGGATGGAATTTATTGATTTTTCGGATTGTTTCATCATTATCGGTTTCTAGAACACCAAGGATAGAGAGAAGGGGTTTGATCTTGCGCTGAAAACCAAGCAACTCTCCCGCCTGATTCCCCCTCGAAGACTGTCTCTTTCTCTCTCTCCGCACGCATGTCAGCGAAATCCAGCCGGGGGAAAAAACCGGCTACTGCTACTGCGTGCAGGGGTCTGAAGTGACCAAGTCCACAAGTGATACTCGACCATTCAACTACACCCAAGCCGATGTCTTCTCCAGACTACTGCCCACATGCAGCTGGCTATGCTACTGCCCACGCGCAGTCAGCCCCTCCTTCCCCTCGTGGTACCTTCCCCCGGTCGTTTCACGTCGGACCTCGTCCCGTTCGTCAGTTTTCGCGACACCCTATGCGAGTCCTCGACATTGTTCTGAGCATGCTGCTTGTATACATCCGACGACCACTTTCCTTCTCTCTGAATCACCCGCTCAGAAATGTCCCCGCCCGATGCCAACGCCGTTGCGCCCCCGACACGAAGCGATTGTAATGCATAGTGTTGGGGGCTTCGCCCGGACTCGGCGGCGACGTCTCGAAGCGCCCTCAGCGCTCTATTGTCGATCACCATTTGTACCGCCCCCCCCTCCTCGCGGAAAGACAATAGTAGTGCGGAGTCGGGTAACGTCGCATGACACGATCACAGCTCAACATCAGGAGCGACTGCCCCGCCATTAGGTCTTACCCCAAACTGCGGTCCCCTCACTTGATCCCGCGTCCGCACACGAATGTTCCCACGCTCACCCTGATCACCCTTGTGACCACGAAAACGCAACTCTAGCCGATCAGTCTTGCGGTAATTATGGAAGTCTAGTTGGTCGTTGCCTGAAAATAGCGCTACATCCACCCGTGCGAGACAATGAGATGCGTGTACTACACCAGCGTCGTTGGCGAAAACGTCGTCAGTCAGGGTAATGACGAAGAAGCTGAGAGCAAGACACAACCACATGAGCCGTCCTCCTCCTCCCCAACCCGGGACCTTGCATTCCGCGTCGCGCAGCATGCACCAGGATACTGGTAGGTGCACACGACGCTGGGTGCCTAGAGCTACATGATTCCTTGCTATCCTCCGCAATGCGCATTATAGCAACGGCGACGAGATGTCCAACTCAACAGACGCGTCCATCCTGTGGTGAAACTGCACCGCTGCGGGTTCCCTCAAATCATACTGGCGGAGTACTCCCTACCTCAAAGCATCACGCAGAAACGTCAACTAGCTCCCATACCCTGCGGTGAATGTTCATGCCAGCGTGGAAAAACGCGGTTTGCCTATGATCCCTCGAAACGTGCACCAAGATTTGAAACCCGACGCAGTAAGTGCGTCTAGACGAAGATGCAATATATGGCCCAACGAGCTGCACGCCAAGATGTCGGAGACTAGGTCCCGTCCTGCATGTCCCAGTTCTTGCGCATGCCACTCCATATTTGGTAGGAAAGCGCGGAGGTTGGGGAGGAAACAGTCAATATCCCATCTCGAGATACCATCGGCAAGGGTTTTGGAAACGTGCCACGCTCTAGCGGACCAACCACTCCGCATCTCTAAGCACCCCATCACTCGCACCAGCGCTCCCGACCTTGGCTATTTAGGCCCTCTGCATTGATTGCATCAGTGCAAAGCGCTCATATTATCGAGAACGCTCTGTCCCTGGTATTCGGGCATGGTTCCTGCATGTACCATGGATGCCCATACTGTGAATACCACGCGGAGCAGTTCAGGGACGTTGATACTTAGAGCGCTTCTAAGGGATTGCGCAAGCGTTGTCTGACGTCGCCGGGAAAGTCCTTCCGTCAGTACGTCCTCGTCTCTAAGATATCCGCCCATCGCGTCACCGCTTGCGTCGCTCTACAACGTACGGACATGTGGTTGCAAGTATAAGCGGTAGCCACGCGCCGCGTCGTGGTGCCCCGGCGGTTCGAGCTAGAACAGGCAGTCGCCCGCCCTGCCCCCGACCTAGCTGATGACCGTGCTGACGATCGCGCCCGCGTAGAACCAGCTGCCTCCGCACCGTGTACATTTGTACGGGACGAGGACCGGGTGACCCGCGCCCTCGACGCCGCGCGTGGCGGTATATCTGACCACGTTGAACAAATTCCGGGCGACGAAAACATTTCAAGACGTGGCGTCATATTTCATCGACAATCGACGTTCAATCGACTTGCATTGGTACTCCGGATCCGATCTCCTCCTGAGGAGGAGGCGGTGGCCGAAGCCGGCCCCCGAGCTCAGAAACAGGGCACCGTTCGAGCGAAATTTCTTTTATTGTTTGTTTTCCAGAACATGTATATATTTCATGGCACCCTGAATCCGACTACGTACTGTGTTAGCGACGATGGCCGGAGCCAGCTCCCGGCTCAGTAGCAGGGCATCGTTCAAAAAGTCCATAATGCTGTACCCGAAAAATATCGAGCCGAGCTAGATTTTTTATTCCCATACTAAGAGTAAGAAATGTGTCGCGAAACAGCGACCATCCTGCAAGTATATATACTAGAGTTAAGGAATGGTCCCCCGCCCCCCAATGGGACGGGTGGCCACACCGAGATGGATGACGGTGAGGGTTTGGGGGGAAGTTAGGAAAATTAAGAAGTTAGACGACAGTTTAGAAGTAACAAGAAGGGACGGAGTATGAAGAGGCCATAAAGACTGAAGACTTTCGCGAAGAGGGAGAGGGCACAGGAGGGTGAAACATCGGCCCCCGCGCCCCTAGTGGGCGGGGTGGGCATGAGGTGTGACAGATGTTGAGTAGGTCTGCGAGAACGGCCGACTTGTGCTGCATGGCTATGGTCGATGCTGTCAATCATTTGCTACATGTTATACTGTAGTACAGTGGTTCGGGACCACCTCTTGACCATTTCGTGGGCAGACTAATAGTACGAAACGAAAGAAGCTTCGTAATTAAAGCATTTGTCGTCCCATACAACAACCAAGACCCGCGTCACCAATCCACATCTAACAACATATTCGCCTGATTGAGAGGGTAGCATCTGATTGAGAGCGAGATTGCGCGATACGCTGTAGCCGGACTACCACTGAGAGGTGGAGCTTGCTGTGTAGCTTGAATTGAAGGGCTAGCCCGTAGCTTCAAGCCGCTACCCTGGTCATCCTGTGGGAGTCTCTCGTTGTGGAGCTACAGCGGGGAGCAGAAGCTACAGCAGAGCCCACCGCCCGACGCGATACCGCCCTGAAACAGTTTGAGCAGAAATAGCCAATCTGGGCAAATCTAGCAACTTGTCTAGCTCCTCGCTGCAGCATCCGATGACGATGACACGCATATGCTCGCAAAGCTGCTGATGAGACCTTCAATTTGCACCGCTTGTTGGAATAGCCCGTCCCCTACTTGCCAAGAAATGGCAAGAGGCGTCTGGACCCGAAATTTCAATTTTTTGGCTTTCGCTCTCAATCAGATACTTCGCTCTCAATCAGGCGAATATGTTGTTATCTTTCATTCGGGTAGGCAACTCGATACACCCACTTATTATTTCGTGCAAGCTCCTTGACGATAGCAACCATTGCAACTTGATGAAGTACATCCTGCTGTTGGGAGAAGAAAGAAAAGTGACCCGAAAAACTAGAGCGATTACAGAATACTTCGAGTACACATAACAACGTAGCCCCCATGGTATTACCGAAAGAAGCGAAACTATTGTGTGCGCATGAACTACGACACTCCATGTAAACTTACCTGTCAACTATATATACATGCTCCGAGTAGTTAAGACTGTGGTTTATCTTTGGACATACGTACAGAAAAACGAAACACAACTGAACAACGTATGGAGCTCTGGACAAACATTCTATGGACATGGGCCCGCGTAAAAACAGAGGGGGAAATGAGCACCCAGTCGGGACTTGAGCTCGGGGCGTGTCAGAACTGCGCATGCCGTCCCAACACCTACCCCGTAGTGAGCACTCTACTGAACTTGAAAAAATCCCGTACATGAAGTGATAAAACTGGGCGGGTGCGCCGCAGTTGTAGTTTCCAGATTGGTGTGCTGGGCGCACGACAGCGGCCGCAACTCCCTCTGCTTTCGTTGTTATGGATAGGGACACGCAACAGAACACGACAGTAGAATCCTCTGTCTCGTGTAATGCGGAGAGATATTACGCGAAGAGGAAAACGTTGCTGTCACGTACTGCTTTGTGCTGTATCAAACGTGGTGCTACTGCT